GGCTTGGCCTGTCTTGGAGCCTTGACTCCTGCACTTGACTGGGCGAGTTTGGGCAGCACCATGTTCTCACAAACCCTTGTCTGTATAGGTTTTGCACTGCTGGTGTCTGGCATGACCTGTCTTGATTCCTTGTCGCCGCTGCTAGATCGCTGCAGTCCAGGCTCGAACCTGTCCATGCGAGCCCCTGCTTGCCTAGAGCTCTTCGCATCCATCTATGGCATCTCTTGTCCGGAGCTGCTCCTTCCCGTCCTGGATTTTGTCCAAGCAGGAAGCATAGCTCCTGCCAGGACCTTTGCACGAACCGGTAGCTTTCTTCCTGCATATGGCATCTCACAGCCCAGCTCATTCTCGTCGATTCTCGATCATGCATGTGTGGGTTCTCCCTCGCTTCTTCGGGCCCTTGCACGACTGGGCTCCTTTTCACTGGCCTACGGCATGTGCGGACTGGATCTGCTGCTGTTTGTGCCCGACTTTCTGCACATGGGCTCACCAGTGTTTCTTCGTTGCTTTATGCGTCACGGGTTTTCCCTGCCCCTCTACGGTATGGCTTGCCTTGAGCCATTACTGCTAATTTTGGACCTCGTGCAGGCAGATCCGTCTATGGCTCTGCGCAGCTTCTTGCGACCGGAGAGTTTGCTACCTGCGTATGGCATGACATGGCTCGGGCCGGCCCTCTTTGCTCTGGATTATATTCACTTAGGCTTTCTCTTGCCGTTACAAGGCCATGCTTGAACCGGTTCGATTGTATTAGCGTATGGCTTGGCATGGCCAGACTCCTCCTCCCCTGCCTCGGACCATGCAAGCACAGACTCGGTGCTTCCTCCACGCAGTTTCATGTGCCTGGGATTTGCGTTGCCGGCTTATGGCATGCTGTGTCCTGAGCCTCTGTCTTCGGCCCCTGACTTTGCACATCTAGACGCCATGCCGGCCCCCAGAAACCTTATGTGTGCCGGGTTGTTGCCGCCTACTTACGGCATGGTGTGCTCGGGCTTTTCGACGCCGACCCTCGACTTCGTACACCCGGCATCGATGCTTTCAACTCGGTCAATGCTGCGACCTGGAAGCCTTTTGCCCGTTTTTGGCATGTCAACGCCTGGCCCCAGCCTGTTTTTGCCGGAGTTCGCTGCACTCGATTTCACCCTCTCACTGCAGATGCTTGCCCGTTTGGGAAGCTTCTTGCCAACTTTTGGCCTCACCAGACTCGGAGTTTTCTCGCCTGTGCCGGATCGCTTGCACCTCGACTTCACCTTGTCCCCTCGGTCCCTTTGCCGCTTGGGGCTGGCAACGTTGGCCTATGGCATCGTGTGGGTGGGCCTCTTGCCTTCGGTGCTTGATTTTGTCCATCCTGGACCACCCCTATCTTTGCACACTTCTGCACGCTTCGAGAGTGCTCCATTCGTTTACGGACTTTCGCGGCTCGGCGCGACCTCACCAGCCCCAGACTTCTTCCACATGGGATCCCTGTTGCTTCCTCAGTCCCATGCTCATTTAGGCGCGGTGATGCCAGCGTACGGTGTCACGTGGTTGGAGGCATTCCCGCTGGCTCTGGACTTCGGCTGCTTCAGCTCACCGTCGCCTTCAAGGAGCTTCCAACAGCTGGGACCTCCGCTTCCCACATACGGCATTACCAAGCTGGACCTAACTCCTCCAATCCTGGAGCATGCGCACTTCGACTCGCCCCCGCTGACCAGAGGACACATGAGGTCGGGCATGACCATGTTTTCGTTTGGCTTGTCTCGACTGGGCCCACCCCTGCCGCCGTCGGAGTTTGCTGCACTTGAGCCAGCACTGCTTTCACGAACACCTGCAAAGACAGGCAGCTTCTTGCCTGCCTATGGCTTGGCGCGGGTCGACCCGTCTCTTTCCGTCCCTGACTGGATGAACATAGCACCGCTGCTGCCATTGCATGGGCTCATGAAGATAGGATCAACTTCGTTTGCATTCGGAGTAGCGCGGCCTGGGTTGATTCCGTTCACTACTGACCTTGTCCATGCAGACTCCTCGCTTCTGCTGCACACCTTCGCTCAGCACGGAAGCGCTTTGCTTGCCTATGGCATGTCTTGATCGGATGCTTTGCTGTTGATGCTAAACCACATCCACTCAGAAGTGCAGCTTTCCTCACAGACCTTCATGCGGACCGGTGTTGCGTCGTTGGCATACGGCTTAGGCAAACTGGGATCGCCTCTCCTGGCTCTTGATCTTACCATGCCCGGCCCTTTTCTGTCAGTTCATAGCTTTGCGTGGTTTGGCAGCTTGCTGCTCGCCTCTGGCATGACTCGATCAGGCTTGCCTTTGCTGCTCCCTGGTTTTGGCATCTGTGGTAGTTCGCCGCCGCCTCGCACGTTCTGCAGATCGGAGCCACCCTTGCCAGCGTACGGCATGTCTTGCTTGAGCTTGCCGCCGCTCGTCCCGGACTCTGTTCATCTCGGCTCGCCGTTCTCGTTGCGTATGCCCAGTCGATCCGATCCAGTGCTTTTCGTGTATGGTATGAGCGTCCTGGGCTTCTCGCCCTTCGTACTTGATCCTATGCATTCGGACTCCCCATCGTCGTCGCGCTACCATGCGCGGCCGGGATTTCTGGTGCTTGCCTTCGGCTTGTGCCGCTTGGAGTTCCCACTTTCTGCGTCGGACCTTTGTCACTCGGGTCTGTCCTTGCTTGTCCAAAGCCATCTGTGCACTGGGTCAATGCTGCCAGTGTTTGGTCTGACATGCCCCGGGCTTCCACTGCTTGTTCTGGACTTCGCAAACTCGGAGTCAGTGATGCCCTCGCAGGCTTTCGTTCGATCTGATCTTTCGATGCCTGTGTCTGGAATTTCCCGGCCCGGCCTTTCACCCTTGCTGCTTGATCGCATCTCTTCAGGTGCTCCTTTGTTGCTGAGAGCCTCTGCAAGAACCGATTCGCTGCCTTCAGCTTTCGGGGTGTCACGACCCGAGGACTCCCTGCCGGTGCCGGACCTTGTGAAGCTGGAGTCAGCACTCTCTGCGCGTGGCTCCACTTGCTTGGGCCTCTTACTGTTCGCCTATGGTCTCTCGCAGCTGGAGCTTTTCCTGCTCGTCCCAGACTTTGTTGCTCTGGACTTGATGCTTTTCCCGCAGAGCCTTTGCCGAATCGGCTTCACGTCGCCGACCTTTGGGCTGACTCAACTCGGTGCCAGTCTTCTCGCCTTGGATTTGTCGGCTTCAGGGCTTTTGTCGTTCATGCAAAGCTCGGTCCAGCCTGAAGCTTCCTTGTTGGTCTACGGCTTATGCAGGCCTGGCTCCTTCTTGCTGGCTTTGGACTTTGTTCACCTGGGCTCTACACCGCTGCCGCAAGGTCTCGCTTGGCTCGGGCTCTTGCTGTTGCCTTATGGGATGGCTCGAGCTGGCCTCTCTCTCCCTTTGCTGGCTTTCGCCACGTTTGGCTCTCCACTCTCCCTCCACAGCCTTGCGAGATTCGGGCCCCCCCTTTCAGCCTTTGGCATGTCCCGTGCTGATTTCAGCCCGCCGGCTTTGGACTCCATCCACTTTGGATCCAGCATGCTCTTGAAGGGCTTTGCTCAGGTAGAAGTTAGCATGTCAGCCTATGGCCTCACCTGCTCGGGCTCGAGCCTTTCTGCACCCGACTTCATGCACCCAGGAAGTCTCATACCCTTGCGCACGCATCTTCGAACAGACCCCTCCATGCTGGCATATGGGATGACCCAACCGGGCTCGCTGCCTTTAGCCTTGGACCTTCTTGACCCTGGCCCACTGTTGCCTCTCCGGTCCTCTGTCTGCACCGGACTGACATCATTGTTGTTCGGCTTGTTGCGACTTGACTTCAGCACGTCGGTGCTGGACTACCTGTGCCTGGGATCTATGATGCTTCCGCAAAGCCTCGCACACACGGAGCTGGTGCTTTCAGCTTATGGCATTGTGCGCCCAGAGTCGCTACTGCCGCTGCTGGATTGCGCGCACCTGGAGGCACCGATGCTGCCACGCGGCCCTCTCTGCTTCGACCTCCCGATGCCCGTCTCAGGCATTTCTCGGCCCGAGCTGTCGCCGCCAACTTCAGACCTTCTGAATCTGGGCTTCAGCCTATCATCAAGGACTTTCTTCCGAATTGGCTTCCTCACGTTTGCATATGGCTTGTCAAAGCTGGAAGCCTTCTTGCTGGCCATGGACCTCGTGCAGCCGGAGCCAACCCTGCTCCCGCAGTCCTTCGCAAGGGCTGGTTTGCTCCCTTCTTCATATGGTGTGCAGTGCCTGGGTCCTTCACCCACGTCACCGGATCACTCGTGTTTGGGGTCCATGCCGCTGCTGCGCAGCTTCCTTCATGTGGGCGCTGCTCTTCTTGCCTATGGCTGCATGTGTCCTGGCAGCCTGTCATCGGTTTTGGACTATGCAAACTCGGAGCTCGTCTCATCCACGCAAGCTTCTTTCCGACCAGATCTGGTGCTACCAGCCTATGGGCTAACGTGTCCTGAGTCTCTGCCGTCTGCGCTGGACTATGCATCCGCTGGATCTCCTTTGTTTGTGCGCGCGCTCGTTTGCACGGATTTGATCCTGCCTGCATATGGCTTTTCCCAGCTTGGGTCTCTGCTACCGTTGTTGGACTTTGTTCACATGGAGTCCTTGCCGTTGCCCCGCAGCCCTCTGTGCCCAGAGCCCTTGCCTTTGGCCTCAGGTGTTACAAAGCCAGGGCCTTTCCCATCTGCACCCGACTTCGTTCAGCCGGACCTGCCCCTCCCATCGTCCCGACCTCAGAGCCTCCGGGGGAGAAGCTGTCATGGGCTTATTTTGCATGCTTTTTTTTTGGTGGTTTTGGCATGCAGTGACTGAGAGAAGCCGTGAGAAGCTGCGATTCGCTGTCTGATGCAGGCTGCTCCAGCAAGTGTAAATGAGAAGGAGCAACAGCTCCGTTTTAGTTTTTCCACAGGGTCGTGAGTTGGAGCCATGCGTCACGACAAATCCATGTATGCCAGCCCCCACCTAGGGTGTGCTGCAACCGCACTTCATCTTTTTTCCGTCGCTGCAGCGCCATGCCGGTTCTACAAATGGAGCTGATGCAAGGGGAGCACGAGGTAAGGGACCAAACTAGACAGCTGAATTTAAAGTCTGGAATCTTGCAAAGCCCTTGTTTGGGTACATGACCTTCAAGGGATATATGCCTTTGCTTTGGGTTCCCCGGAGGACGAGGAGAGCTTCGACACGTCGCCGCAGGACGCAGAGCCGGCTGAGCCGGTGGAGTCGACAGCATTTCTGCAGCGACCGAAGATGAGGCGGGGAGCCATGCACCCGGGGGTATGTATGTCTTAGGGTTTGCAGGGTTTAGGTTTAGAGTTCTTAGGGCTTGGAGTATGCGGGGGCTTTTGGGCTTCGAGGGCTTGTAGCGTTTAGGGTTTAAGGACACTGCACTGATATGTCTTCAGGAGTTTGCATCACCCATCTCGGATGGCTGATCCTGCCTGTCTGAGGCCTTGTTTGGTTGAGTTTATGATGCTGACGCCAAGACGCCGCTTTGGGCTTGGAGTCATCCTGTGTGGATTGAGCTTCGCACTCCTTGCGGTCATCTTGACTGGATCGATTCCTCCCTTCAGCCAGCCCCGCCACCGCGCGCATGCTGGAAAATTCCGCTTGAGCCTGTGGTCCGGGGAGGGATCTTGTCGCAGCATGGGCTGCGAGAGTGACAACTACGTGGGTAGCTGCCAGTGCAACTTGGCTTCAAAAGACGTTGCGTGCTTGCCCTTGCTTGCCCATTGCAACTCTTGCACTTGCCGTTTCCAAGGTAACGATGGGTGCACTTATTTTGACGACTGCTGCCCCGACTACCAGGAAGTTTGCACATCGGCTGGGCAGTACGAACCTCCGGCAACTTGGTTGTGTAGTCTCCACGCTTCCAGACTGGACCGTGTAGTTTGCCATATCAGAGTCTCAGGAACCCCGTGGTTCCTGCCAGTCCATGGGTTGTGGCAGTGATTCCCTGGGCTGTACAATGGCCAACTGTGAGAACGTTTGCCGCCCGTCTTGGCTTCAGCACCGAATTTTTTTCAGGAAGGCCTGTGCTGAAGGGAACCCAGGTGGCAACGTTGGGGGTGCAGGGTTGTCTGGAACAGAGCTTGTCTTAGACATGACATCGCATACCGTCATATCATAGCATATCATGGCTTACCATATCAGATCATATCATATCATATCATGCCATAACAGCACATGTCTTAGCATAGCGTATCATAGGGTATCATATCATACTATATTATATCATGTCAGATCAGGCCAGGTCAGATCACACCATCTCATTTTTCTCATCGCGCCAAAGCATATCGTATCACATCACATCATATCATCATATCACATGACATCACTCCATATCACCTCATATCACATCGTATCACATCATATCGCACCATAGCCATCCATCCCACCATATTTCATCATGTCACATATCATAGCATCATTAACATATCATATCTGCGGTGTCGTATCATATGTACAAACACAACAATGTGAATAAACACATGTATACGCACATGTTATATATATATATGTATAATATATATATATAATATACACAACAAAAGAGCATATGCACATGTGTATATGCATGTGTATATGTAGATACGTATGGATGGACAAATAGATAAGTTCGCAGAGAGACATAAACATAGGTATGAAAGAAACGTAGGTAGGTAGGTAGGTAGGTAGGTAGGTAGGTAGGTCGGTAGGTAGGCAGGTAGGTAGGTAGGTAGGTAGGTAGGTAGGCAGAATTTCCTACACAACTTACATGTTTGCATATATGTTTACGTAATATTTTGTGTTGTGGCTGTACAGTATATACACGCGTATATATATATAAATATGCACACACACACACATATATATATATGAGAGAGGCGCCT